CGCGTTTCCCAGCATGCTTTTGAGAGTTCTCTCATCTACAGCTTGCAGCATCTCTTGGTGAAGACTTTTTGGATAGCCTTGCAGCAGCAGGAAGTCCTTGACATTCAAGAAACGATCGCGGGAGACGGAGAAGTAACCATGCTGCCCAGAACAGCGGCTGAGAGTCAGACATGGGCAGCGGCCAGCCACGAAATTGCATTTGCTGGAGCCTGNNATCGATAATGTAGTCGGCAGATTTCAGATCCTGGCCAGCAGTCTTCTGGGCAAAGCACTTCAAGTTGTCCTGCACAGTCTTGCTGAGTCGTCGGCCCTGGTCATCCATGGTCTTGCTGGCCAGGTCAGGCAGCGGACCAGCTTTCGGGGGCCCCAAAAGTTGCGTGAGGGTCAGGCAACCGCTGAACGGATCTGGAAATCTGAAAGGAAGTACCTGCGCTTCTTTCAAAATGCCCACGATGTACAGCCGTTTCCGATTTTGAGGCAGCCCGCCATGGCGGTCGGTCTCCATCTCCTCCCACATGACATTGTAGGCAGCTGAGTTGACTTTGCGAAGAATGCCAATCATGATATTGAACTTGTCCGGAAAGCCTTGGGCGAGGCCGGGCACATTCTCCAACAGGTAGGCACGAGGCTTGCCTACTGCGATGCGCCGGAAGATGTCCTTGAAGAAACGCCCACGATCCTCGTCGTCTGAACCTTCTTGCTTTCCAGCTGTGCTCCATGGTTGGCATGGGAAGCCGCATCCGTAGAGGTCTACCAGGCGCCACGTTTCTGGCTGGGATGCGTCCTTCATGTCTGGGCTGAGCACTTCCGGCTTGATCACGGCCTGGATGTAGGACCTACAAAGGCGAGCACGATCAGCCCCTGATTAAAAGAAACAAAAGACAACATGAGAACACCCTAATGCGCCCAGGGACCTCTTCTTGGGGCACTTTTCCGAAGCAAAGGCATGCTGGCAGGCAAAAGCGCCAGATGAGGCCGTCGCTGCAGCCCGTCCTTCTGGGCAAAGCCCAGAACAATCTGACGCCACCCGAATCACGTTCTTGTTGGGCAAGCGCGGCGGGGTTTGCCCCAACATCACTTGCCTTTCTGGATACTTTGCGGCCAGCGCCGGCCTCGCAGCAGCAGAGCCTTTGCCAGTCTGACTTTTCTGATGGGCCGAGTTCTCAACTGTGGAACCTTTGGCACACGCAGGCTTCTTGCGTGCCGGCTTCTTGCGGCCAGAGCTCTTGCCCAACGCAGGCTTCTGAGAGGCGGGCACGCATGTATCGCTAGCTTCAGGCTTGACAATCTTCTTCCGCACTTTCTTTGAAGCAGCTTTCGGACATGTTTTGCACGGGCCCATGGTTCAATCCAAGCAGAGTAGGCTTCCCTGCTATGCATCCAAAACAAATCCTCGAGCCCATGAGAAGGCGGACACCAATCTTCAAATCTAGTGCCCACGCTGGATAGGAAGCAACAGCAGAAGTGGTGAGTGCGGCATGCAGAGGCAAATTGAAGGAAAGATCCACTGCGACACCCCCCCTTCCGACAGCTTTGCCACTAACTTTCACTGTCCATGAAGACTGCATGCTTCAATGCAACAAGAAACCAACGATGACGTGGGATCCTGGCTTGTGGGGCACAGCTTGAGGCATAGGGTGTAGAGTTTAAAAATTCGGATACAATGTAACACAGACCTCGGCAGCATGAATCGCAATTCAGTCAGCACGTGGTCCTACGCGAAGCCCTCTGTTGCCACGAGCCTCGTCCCAATCCAGCTAGCCAAACCTGAGCGCGCTGGAAGACTGCTTCTACAGTCCAACATGACGCGTTCGCGCGAAAGCTAAAGCATGGACCAATGCACAGCTTTTTTGCGTCTGCGCGATGCAGTCAGGCAGTCTTGCCATGGAGTTGCGCTGAAGCCGGCTGTGCCGAGTATCTAGCGCCGGGCATTGTCGCGAGGACTTTTCATGGGTACAGCTTGAAGTCTGCTAGTTTGTCTTATTATATGAAGCTTCAGCCTCGGCAGCAAAATCTGCCCGGCCCATCTACTCTGCAGCTCACACCAGATGATCAAGACCCGACTTCGGCAGGGCAGCTTGCGATAGGAATTGGGGCGTAAGCCGTACTTTGAAGAATTGAATGGTTCTGCTGCGGACCTGCGCTGAAGCCGGCTGTACCAAAAAACCGGCACCAGGCATGCTTACAAGGCGTCTGAGCTTAATAATTGGTCCCAATCGCTGAGCTTGAAGTTTCTACCTGCGTCCTGGGTGAATCTTGCGCCTTGCGATCAAAAACCTGCCTGGCACGAACTTCAGTGCTCACACAACAGGATCAACCTTCCATCGCCAGGAGGGCTGCCTGCGATGGCACGTGACGCATAGGGAGCATAAGGCAATTGAGTGGCTTTCAATGTCTTGCCCCCTTCACGGGTCTGATCCACGGCTACAGCATCAAAACCTTAATACTGACCTGCATGCCTGAAAATGTCATTCCCTGAAGATATTTCTCTAGGCTTCATGACTTCACTTTAACATTCTCCGGCCTCCATCTCCGCCAAGCCATCATCTTGCTCAGCTGGCTGCTGACCGGAAGCTTGCTGAGCGGAGCCGGCAGCCGTCCCCGCGTTCTGACCCGCAGCGGCACCCGCAGCGGCACCCGTAGCGGCACCTGCACCGGCATTGCTGATGGCGGCCGCAAACTTGGCATCATACACGGGGGAGTTCTCCTTCATGAACTCTTCAAGCAGCATGTGACACAATCGTTCCTTCAATCGGGTCTGATGCTCCTCCGTCAGCGTGACACCGAAGTAAGGGATCCGATTCAATGCTGCCAGGAATGGAAGTGTTCCTGCTGATGGGGCCGAATCCAAGATCGTGCCAACATTGTAGCTATGCAGCACTTCCTGATAGAACTCCTTCGAACGCTCGTGGTAGAAGCACGGCTCGAGCGCCAGCCTGCTCTGGGACTTGTGGGACGCATCGTAGCCCGGAGTTTTGCCGCCAACAGCAACTCGAAAGGGGCCCAGCATGGAGAGCTTCTCCTTCAGTAGTGCTGCGGTGTTACGGGAGTTGCATTTACAGTTTTAAACATCTGGGGTTGATGGCTAAAGGTATTTTTGTAATTGCCAGTCCTGGTGAGGCAGCATCCACAACTTTGATGGCGGATCCATCACGGTCGGGAGCAGGTTGCCCAGGTTTGTGCTCCTCGCATTGCAGAGACGAGGCCGGCTCTCCATGACATTGTGGAAAGGTTCGGCAGTCACCAGCAGCAAGGTCTCCAACTGGTCTATTCCCACACTTGTGTTTCGCCTTCTGGCCTTCACCAACTCTTCCTCGAAGGAGAGGCAAAGCTTTGTGATGTTCTTGGCGAGGGAGTTGCCGGCATCATCCTGCCAATCTTCTCGCTCTCACTTATCGCCTCTCTCTCTCTC